CTCTCTCTCTCTCTCTCTCTCTCTCTCTCTCTCTCTCTCTCTCTCTCTCTCTCTCTGTGGAGGCAGGGATTAGTTGTGGAGAGCTGCTGCACGGGCATGAGCCGTGCACGCAAGTCGTACCCTAAGCCAACAGCGGCACGGATATATGTATAGCGAGCTTGATAGTCCGTGCGGCCAAAGCGTCGATTCCGATTCCCCCCCATGTGGCGCCTTACAGAATACAAAGTGCCAAGAGACAGTAGTAGTAGCAGAGGTAGCGGCGGTCCTTACTTAGTGTGTTCGTGATATATAGAGAGAGAAAGCTGGCTGCTGGGTGCATGATGGCCAAGCAGCAGCCACGAGTACGAGTGTGAGCGTGAGTCCGAGACGCGCACGAGTCGTGAGTCTCTTGAGTTGTGAGTGCTGTGCTGTGTTGTGCTGTGCTGTGCGCGTTGCCGCTGCAGACTTTTTGGACACTTGGCGACTTTGTGTGCGCGCTTCCTCGACCAGAGAGAATAAGTCACGAGGCTAGGCATGCATGGAGAGCTCTTTGTCTGACCCTGCTGCCGGACGCCAACACTTTGACTGTTTGCCATGCTCTATCCTCTGCTCTCACCCTCATCCGCACCGCTGAAGAGCACTCTCACACGTAGCGGCAGGGCTTCCCACGAGCACTCGTAATCTATCTGACGCTACGATCTGCAGGTGACGAACCTCACCTTCAATCCCACACCACTCCAGCACGCGCTTCCAACGATTCGAGGTCCAACACCAAGCTGGTATTGGATTGCACAATTCTCCTCGCACGCCCAACGATATCGCTGTTGAGCAGATCAAACCCTCCTGCAGAGCGCTCCTGCATTCCTCATTGCACCACCAAACTTCTCGAGCAAGACAGCACATTGGGGTCTGCTGCAAATCAGTGAAGCGTCAAAATGGTGCGCACCGTCACCTTTGAAATCAGATGGCACGAGACGCAGCCAATCTACTCTTGCAACTTTCAGCCCATCTCTGCTTCTCACTTGCGTCGTGTCTTGGACCACAATGCAGCACAAGGTGAGCAGCACCATAGGCTTGACTCGTGAAGCGCCGGAGTCGTCGGCTGACTCTCTCTCTACCTCATTCTTTCGCACCCTACCAGCAGCAGGCTTGGCCCCAGGCAAAACGCTCGAACATGCGTCAGGAAGCAACACAAGCGCGGCAAGCGTCTCTACACGGCCGACTGCTGCGTCTACCGCCAGCGCATCCGCACCTTTAACGTCACGCACTCAGTTACCTATCATGGCTGGAGGCCAGAGCTGGCGCTTCGCTACTGCCGGAGGTGATAACACTGCTAGAGTGAGTCGTCAGGTCTCAGAGCGTAAATCAGGGGATGCCATGAGAACTCATCGTCGTCGTCTGTCTTGTGCAACAGCTCTGGCAAGTGCACCCAAATATACCATCACCTGCTGCCCTAGCCGCGGCAGCTGCTGCCAGTGGAGGAGCATCGTTGCCAGCTCCCCATCCGCCGCGAGTCGAGTATCTTGCCGCGCTCAAACGCCATTCCGGAGTGGTCAACTGCGTTCGCTTTAGTCCAAATGGAGAGCAGCTCGCGACAAGTGGAGATGGTGAGCTTGCTTGCACATTCAAGATTCGGCAGGCAGACCATATTAGCTGAACCTTGTTCACGCCCTTTTCTCGAATTGCAGACGGCACTGTCATCTTCTGGGCCCAGAGTGATCACTCAGCAACGACCTTCGGATCGACTAGTATTGGAGCTCTCGACGACGACCCCGACGCCGAATTTGCGAAGGAACACTGGTCCATCCGAAGGATCGCTCGTCCTAGCGCCAGTGAGATCTACGACCTCGCTTGGGCACCTGATGGCGAAGCAATTGTTGTTGGTGGAACAGACTTTGTCGCTCGCATTGTTAATCCACACGACGGTGAGTAGGCCAAGACGTTCTCAGCGAAGCAACGACATCTGAACGCATGACTTGCCCCAATCGCAGGATCCATTGTCCGCGAAATTGCGGAACATAGCCACTACGTGCAGGGAGTCGCATGGGACCCTTGGAATGAGCTTATTGCTACTCAGTCTTCGGACCGCAGTGTTCATGTTCATGCGTTGCAGCGGCTTCAACATGCTGAAGCAGCTACTGGCTCGATTTCTGGCACCAACACCATCAGCAGGAACTCGCGCATGGATCTTCACCGCAGACAGGGCAGCGGCAGCGCGCAAGGGACCACACTGATTTCAAATTCTTCCTACAGCTCAAACCCAAGCTCATCTCACGTCTCACATGGCTTCGTTTGGGACCCCACAGCAAAGCCTCCTATGAGGCGAGCAAGTAGTCACGCCTCGCATGCTAGTGCGAGCGATGATGACAGAAGAGAAGGTAGTGCAGTGCTCCATCAAAGCAGAGTCACTAGCGTCAGTACTCCCAGCAGCGCCGGCCCCTGCAAAACATTCGACCGCACTCGCAATGGCCGCAGCGCTACACCTCACGATTTAGTTGCACTGCCAAACGCCATCAGCAGCGCAGGCATCCGTTCCGCTACCCCAACGCCGGTTGCCGTGCCTCCTAGTCCGGCGATCTCCACCAGCGGAGCCTCCACATCGCATGCGATGAATCCACCTCAAACAACACCCTCTCGTCGTTCCAGCTTCAGCGGATCGCAAGCTGAAACTATGTCTCCCATGACTAGCACCACATCATTGGCACCAGCATCAGTCATGGGTGCCAGTGCAAACAGCAACAAAGCCACTCGACGGAGCATGTCCCGCACTCGAGCTGCTGCAGCTGCATCTGCCACGCGCAGTCCTTCACCTGTTCCCCCACTGCCTGCGATCAGAGCGCCGCCTTCACCAAAGCAACGCCTTGCACAAGCGTCGGCTCAGGGCTCTCTGGCCCGCGTCGGCATGCGCATGTACGGCGACGAAAATTTCAGCGGCTTCTTCCGGAGGTTAGCCTTCTCTCCGGACGGTGCTTTGCTGGTCACGCCTTCTGGCATCTTTGATGCGCCTCCTATGACTCCGAGCAGCCCCACGATGGCAATCGCGAGCACAAGCGTCAGTGCCCGTCGAGGTTCCGAAGCTGCGCAAGACGCCAGAGCTAGTCCTGCGCCTCGTGCGAGCCCTGTGCCAAGCGGATTTCCACCCTCTTTGGCACCCGTACCCGCGCCTCTTGCCCCCCGCAGCACCGTGTACATGTACGGACGCGCAAATCTTCTCAAGAGCAACGCACCTCTTGCACACTTGCCCGGCCACAAGACAGCAAGTCTGGTTGTGTCGTTCAGCCCTATGCTGTACGAGCTTCGCAACAACGGGGGCAGGTCCTCGATCCACACGTCGGCTGGACCAAACGGTGGGGACCATGACGGTGGAATGTTGCCGCATCCAACGGTCCCTCTTGAAGTCGGCAAGCAGAAAACGGTGGCGTTGCAAAGCGCTGCTAGCGCGGCTGGTGGGTCTGCAAGCAGCACGGACGTTCATAACTCGGCAGATGTCGAAGGCAAGAATCAAAAAGCCGTGGCAGATGGCGCCAATCAGGGCATCTCTATGATTGGTCTGCCCTATCGAATGATCTTTGCAGTCGCTACTCACGACTCGGTATGGATTTACGACACACAACAAGGTGGACCCCTTTGCTGCTTCTCTAACATGCACTATGCCAGTTTCACGGATCTTGCTTGGTGAGTCGAGGCAATCGCACATCACCACTTCGTTTCCTGACTCATTGCGTGCTCCCTCCTTTAAGGTCGCCCGATGGCCAAACACTCATGATGTGCTCCACAGACGGCTATTGCTCTGTGGTCGTCTTCGATTACGGCGAGCTGGGGGCCCCCATCGCCCACGCACAGCAACCTTGTCTGCAGAAGTCGGCCTCGCAACATACGCACACTGCTGGCGCCGGGTCTGCAGCAATGGCTCCGACTCCGAGCAGCTCTTCCAGCGGTGTGTCGAGTGCACATAAGCGCAGTGCAAGCGGATCAATATCAGCGTCCACGTCGCATCACGTGACTTCGGCACTCGGACTCGGACTTGGAGATGCTGTCGATAGCAGTCACACTGCGTCACCTCTTTCTAGCACCACCAAAGAGGCGAGCGATGTGGCCGGTGACGCAAACGACGGGCAGTCCAAAAAGAAGCGAAGGGTTGCTCTGACACTGGAAGGTCCTTTGGGAGGCCGGTGAAACTCTTCCCTCCACCCCCACCCCCTCCCAACCATGTGCCGAGTGTTACGCAACGCGGTCACCCATTGGCATTTGGCAACGTGATTCGCTCTCGCTTATTTGCTCGCGTCGCTAACGTACGGTCATGACGAATTTTGATTCATCCGAGAGCATTGTACACTTGCAAAAATTTCATCGATGACTTGATCATACGTTAAGGAGATTCTTGGGCCGTTGCAGGGAAACGTTGGGAAAGGGGAAAGAGTACATGTTGAGAAAGCATTGGCCGGTCGCATGGTTCCAATGAAAAGTCTGATGCGGACTTTGAAGCATACATCGAAGCCGGCAATGATCATCAAAGGTCAGAGCGAGTGGGAAACAAATGGGGGAAAAGGTCGTACAAAGCGGCGCGGCAGGAGGCAAGGAAAGAAAAGCCTTATAGGCCAATGCGTGCAGCGATTTTGGCAATGGGGGCAGCCAGAGTGGTCGCGGCGCCATGTGAATGACCGTCCTTAGCAGGCACAGAGGGCATGTACGAGGCCAAGTCGCGCCAAGAAAGGACCGAGTCGGTCGAAGCAAAGAAGAGGACCAAAAGGACAACGACGAGGGCTGGAAGCCAGAAGTACAGTAGCATGGGGTCGTCCTGCAAGGTGGGCGTGCGCCGCAGAGAAGTTGTCGTTGAGCGCGTTTTGGTCTTGGTCATTGTAGTGAGGGTTGCGTCAGCGTCCGAGTTCCTTGTTGCCCTGCGCTGCAGCTTGCTCTCGGTCTGTGATGAGTCATCGACAGCTCGGGGCGTGGCTGTGCCAGAGGTAGCGGCGGACTCGCTTACATCCTTCTCAGACGAGTTCGTAACGGCGGCATCTACTGTTGGTATTTCTGGTGCGAGTGCCGAGCTGCTTGGTTGAGGGTGTTCAGAAGAAGCTTGCGTAGCCTTGGCCTCCGCACGCGCCTCGCTCGCCTTTGAAGAGGTTCCCGCTGAGGCAGCAGAATCTGCTTCTGCCAATGTCGACTCATACGTGGGCGGCGGTGGCGAGTACAATGGGTTGATCCAAAGGGCGGACTCCTCGATAATGCTTCGCAGCATAGAGACTAGCCGGTGCCGCTCCTGTTCGTGCTCCTCGTTGAGTGCCGGACCGTTTGAGGTGCTGGCCTCGCCCTGGCGTGCTGCAACAGTGGTCTGGGCGGTACCTTGACGAGGAGCAGGATTCGACCATGGCACAAAGCTGTTGCCATTGAGCAAAGCCGGCACCATGCCAGCCAACTGCAGTCTTTGTGCAAGGTCGCCAAGACCATTCCCGACCATGCCCCGAAGGCCCAGCTGCCCAGGATCTTCTCCTGCCGCAGGTGCATTTACAGCTGCAGGCGCCGGGACTGGAGTGCCGCGCGCATTGCTGACATCGGAAGCGACGTGAGCCGGCAGCGCTTCCTCAACGTCGCTGTCATCGTCTGCAGAGTCATCGTCATCACTAGTGGTGAAAACGCCAGACTCGTCGACGGTCGTGCTGATGTTGTCGTCATCGACCTCCTCATCTTCCCCGCTCTGAACCTCATCGTCGCTGACGGATACACCAGAGTCTGGCACAGCCACACGCGCTGTGTGATGATCGGCGCACATCCTTTGTGCATGCTCGTCAAGAAGCGTCTCAACGTCAATCTCCTCACGCTCGTGCGCAATGTCGATGGGGAGCCGTCCCGTAGCGTTTCGCAGGTCGCTTCGTGCGCCGTGAGCCAGAAGCATGCGGGCGATTGTCATCCGACCGGATAGCGCAGCGAAATGCAGCGGCGCAAAGCCATTGTGATCGCGAGCGTTGGGAGGGCACCCCCGCTCCAGCAGGGCGAGCGCCAGTCGATGGAAGCCAAGCATCACAGCAAGGTGGAGCAATGTGTGGCCTTGGCTATTCGCGAGGCGGATAGCGTCTCTGCGAGGTGCAGAGTCTGCTTCAGCACCTCCGTCTGAAGTCTCGACATCTAACAGCGTCAAGAACTTCATGACGCTATCTTGAAAGGATTGCGAGTCCCCATTTCTACCATGAGCCGAAGCGAGCCCTGCGGTGAACAAGCCGGCCACAGCATTCCTGGCTTCTTGCGAGCGCTGCTGCCCTCCCTGGTTGGAAAAGTGCTGCTGCTGCTGGCCACTCTGGCCTGACTGCTGCCCATTGGTGGCGCCTGATCCGACGACACGCATGGCTACGTCACGGGCAGACTGCATCTGTCCAGTCATCTGCAAGCCAACGACCTGCAAAGCGAGCTCCATAAGGGCGCGATCCGTGGTGTCGATGTAGGTGAAGAGCTGAAGCGCGCGATGCTGCTGATGTGCAAGGTCTGCCGCAGACGGAGGTGGCCCTCCCTTGATGTCGACTACCACAGGGCCTGGACTGCAACTCGGAGGCAGAACGCAGACCAGCGTGTTGGAAGCCCAAACCCGAGTGTTGGTAGCTGGCACGTCGCCAAACACGCAGACGAGACCGTCGGTAAAGTTCTCTCCGAGAATGGTTACTTCGATACCACCGCTCGTAGGACCTTCACCTGGAATGAGTTTGGAGATGCTGGGCAAAAGCCGGCTAGGAGCTTGAGTGTTTAGGGGACCTTGCTGAGGTGCAGCTTGCGCATTCGGCATAAAGCCACTCGAAGACGCAGTGGAGGCTCCGCCATTTGGGCTGATCATGCCGGTAGGATATTGCTGCAACGCATTGTTCATGTGAGGCTGAGCGAATTGTGAATCTAGAGGCATTTGGGATGCAAACGCTTGCTGATTCTGCATTGTTTGTCCAGCATGCTGAGCCCCGATGGAGCTTGCGGCCAGCGCCATGAGCGAGTCTCCGCCTCTGCCCGATGCAGCATCCCTGAAGAAGCGCTCAAAGTCGAAAGCAGGTGTACTCTGAGGTGCAGTGGCAAGCGTAGCTGGGGACAATGAGCCTTGATCGGCAGCTTGCCACGCAGCAGAAGGTGAGGCAACGCTCAAATGGCTTCCAGCGCTCGGTGACGATGCTTCGTGAGGAGTACGCAGACCGTTGCGACTGCTTCCGCGACTGATCCCCAAAGCGGCACCATTGGCCCATGGCGTCTCTGCAAGCGCGAGATCTTGAGAAGCCCGCGACGGGGTCATCGACAAACTTGCTCCGTTGGCGCTGCTGTTGGTGGATCGACGACCAGCTCGATCCTTTGCGTCACCGTATGGCTTGGCGCGTCCAGCTTTGCGAGACGATGCGCTGGGCTTGGATGTTTCGTTCGCGACGTCGGCATCCGCGGATGGTCCGCGGCTTGTTCGTGAACCATCGACTTGCTTGATCGGACCAGACCGCGCCG